CTGATGAACACAGACTCAAAAATGATCAAAAAATATTTGCAAATAGAACACAGACATACTTTAAAAACAATATCTACTATGACCAGGTTGGCTTTATACCTGAAATGTAGGGATGGTCCAACAGCCACAAGTCAATAAATGTAGTAAACCACATAAATGGACTTAAAGACAAAAAAAAAAAAATCACATGGTCATCCAAATAGTTTCAGGAAATGCTTTTTTTCTTCTTTTTTTTTCCTGTTTTTATTTCATTTTACATTCCAACCACAGTTCTTCCTGCCACCCCTCTTCCCACTCCCTACCTCTCTCCTAGCCCACCCCCATTTCACTCCTCCTAATGGGTAAGGGCTCCCATGATGAGTCAACATAGTCTGGCACAATAGTTTGGGGAAGGGCCAGGCCCCTCTCCCATGTATTAAGACTGAACATGGCATCCCACCGTAAGGAATGTGCTGCAACAAGCTAATTCATGTACCAGTTTTGTATCGTGGTCTCTCACAGTGCAAAGCCTTAGCTGATCTCCATGAGCCCTTCATGCTTTCAAAAGCAGTACCACATGAGAGACTTGTACATGACCAAGTTTGGCTGCCAGTGAGTGGTAAAATCTTGGTGGCCTCTGGAACACAGCTCTGTGCAATAACTCTGAGGAAACACTTTCCAAAAGATTTTGCCTCAGTGATTTGGTCTCGTCTCAATCACCGATAATTTCTTAGCTTCTGTTGGCTAGCATCTATTGTCCCAATAAAACAAAGACTTATTTCAGTAGTTCTGTTCTCTTGTAATTACAGCTAATGCTTCAGCCCCAGCTAACCAGAACCACAGATTCCCATTTTTAATCTTTAAATGACTCTCAAACTTCCCTTTGGAACTTCACAAGCCAGGCCTCTATTGACTGCTTTCCTCTCAACGTTCTTATCTTGCAAGCTTCCACAGAAAAGTTATCAAGTTTTCAACTCTTAATGGATTTCTAGACCAAAGTTCCAAGGCCCGTTCACAATCCTTCTCAAAACAACATGTCATGTCTCTCACAACACCCCATGATCCTATTAGCAACTTATTTTACAGTTTCTATTTCTGTGATGAAACACCATGACCAAAAAGCAAGTTAGGGAGGAAAGGGTTTATTTGGCTTACACTTCCAGATCACTGTTCATCATCAAAGGAAGCCAGGACTGGAACTCAAACAGGGCAGGAACCTGGAGGCAGGAGCTCATGGAGAGGTCATAGAGGGATGCTACTTACTGGCTTACTCCCCATGGCTTGCTCAACCTGCTTTCATATAGAACCCAGGACTACCAATCAAAGCATGGCACCACGCACAAGGGTCTAGGCCCTCCCAAATCAATCACGAATTTTAAAATGCCCTACAGGCTTGCCTGAACCTCAATCTTATGAAGACATTTACTTAATTGAGGTTCCCTCCTCTCAGATGACTACAGCTTGTGTCAAATTGACATAAAACTATCGAGCACAGAGATCAAAAAAACTGAACTCTAATGGGTCATGAAAGATCTAACCTAGTTAATAAGTGGCTTCTGGAGATCCTCTCACTTGCTAAGCCATAGGATAAAATGCAGCTTTGTTATGACAAGACCATTTCCACTTCCTTGAATTCTGGAATCAATGAAGAGAAACAAAAGTGAGTTTAGTTTCACTTTCCTGTTCTTGTAAATGTAGGAGATTCTGGGATGAAACTGGACCCACTCTCCTCTGTGATTGGCTCCACACTCTGGAGGTGGAGACAAAAGCCAAAGAATATACAAGTGCTACTCAACTTCCTCATTTCTGTTGAAGAAGCTGCTGTTGAGGTCAGAGTGAAGGAACTCAAGTGCAACAGCAGCCAAGGACTATTCCTCTGTCCCGAGAAGGGAGAGCATCCCCTGGACTCAGGATTGTCTGGTAACTCTACATTCAGATCTGACTTCTCGCCCTCACTGTCTCCTAGGGATCCCGTGGATAACAAGAATTGTAGAGACATATCCTCAGAGCTGGGACCCTCAGTTTGGAATCTAGGGGTCTTTGATTGGAGGCAGGCAGGGGCTGACTTACAGATGTTCTTAGGTAACCATTCAAGTTTAGATGGACCTGAAGTAAATAACCAAGTTATTGTTTAAATTTTGCCTAGTTGTTTTGGTTTGGGGTTTTGTTTGTTTTGAGCACCTCTACTACCTAGAATAGAAGAAAATTAACCTTTCAAGATATATGTTGTCAAATGTCACTATAGAATATATGAAAAATGTTGTGCCTCAATCCTGCTACTTCCTAGTTCTCTTTTCTTGCCTCTTTCTGTGTAGTTCAGCATATTTACTCTAAATTCCAGTGGAATCTAGACTGGGGTGAAAGATGCACTCTGTAAGATTCTTCTGTAACCTGCCGGGAAAAATTAGGATTTGGGTTTTTTTAGAAAATATTTTTATTTACTATATGATAGATTCATAATCTACATAACATCTTTATCATCTTAATCCACTATTCCTCTCTCTTCCCACACTTATTCCATCTAGGATCCTTACTCTTCCCCAATATTGCCCCATGTTTTCTTGTCTTTTTTATTTTTAAATACTCCACTGAATATAATCAGGATCACTGCATGTTCTGGTGTGGGGTAATTTACTTGATCATGGGCCACCTTGTAGTAACCACATCTCTAAAGAAAAATGACTCTCTGTCCCCCACCAGTCACTAATCCTAATATCTCCTCTGCTAAGGAAAAGGTATCATGTACCCATGGTATGGTTCACACTGAAATATGGACAGATCTTGTGTGTAAATCTCCTGCAGGAAACACCAGCTGGCATGAGTTCACCTGTGCAACTGCCATGAGGCAGTCAGAAGATTGCCCCTGCCCCATCCTCTGTCTCTTGCATGTTGTTTCCTGAAGCTGGTTCAGATGGGGGGTTGTTAAAGAAATTTAGGAAAGAGCACTCAACCGTCACTTGTTCTCACCACTTTGACTAGTTATGAGAGTGTGCATTAAACACTACTCACTGCAAAAACAAGACAAGCAGCAGAAAAAACAAAAACCTTGTCTGGGCGAGGCTGAGAATACCAGGAATATCTGGTATAATCAGAAATATTTAGAAGTTATCTTTGCCAGCATGCCCATTTATCAAAACAGCAGTAGTAGAAGCTTTGGGGCACATTTTTAGGGAACCCTCCTTAACTTCATGGTTTTAATGTACAGTTGGAGTGACAATGAAGAAATTCATCCTTTTGTAATGATTGATATTTCATATTGCTATTATTTGTTGTATTCATATTCAGTGCAAGACATTTAAGAAAAGTTTTTTGTTGTTTATTTTCCTTTTCCTTCTTAGTAGTTCTTTGAGAATTTTGTACAGTACATTTTAGTTGTTGTTTGGATTATATTCATTTTTTCATTTTCTGTGCACTCCTGTACTGGAGCTAGGTGCCAAAGTGCAAGAGCATGCATTTGGGAGTCAAAGAGCAAATTGTGCGTCTTGGGATTAGAACTCAGATCACCAGGCTTAGTGACAAGAGTCCTTACCTGCTCAATCGTCTTGCTGTCCATAGACAGTTTTAGAGTGTACATAATTAAAACCAGGAATGGGGACCAAAAGGATGGGAGGATTTTGTAAAAAGATTCCCCCAGAAACTTCTGTCTTGATAGCTTTCACCAGGCTAAATACAGTAGATCCAGGCTCCTTATTGCTCAGATAGATGTAACTATTTTAATTTTTTCAGGGTGCAGTCAGCTTTTGCAATTGGCCAAATTTATTACCAAATAGTTAATTTGAGAAGCTATCAGAAAAGCTTAAGTCTGCCCCCCACCACCCCTGTCTCCATTAGGTTTATGTGAGGCAGAATAAGGGTAGAACCTGGATGTCTATCCAGATTAGGAGATGAGTAACAAAATTCAGAGGGGACCCTGGTATTTATTGGGAATTGCCTTGCAAGGAGACCAGGAGCTGAACAGCATCCTTACCACCCTGTAGGGTCACCATTTTTCTGAGTATGGAGAGCAGGCTTTTGGCTTTGTGGCCATTGTTGCTTAGTGCTCTGTTTTGTTGCTATCAGTGCTTGGACTGAAGGCCTATCCCTGTCAGCAGTCAGGCTTTCGGGAGGAAACAGAAATAGTTATCTTAAGGAAACATAAAGCTTAGGAAGTTTTGCCAAAAAAAGTTCATACAAATTTATGCATTAAAATATCTAATCCCATAATATTATATAAAAATGTATTATCTAATAGACATGACTTGTTGTTAGACTCAGTTTTTTATAGCTTATCACAACCTTTATATTTTATTTTATTTTATTTTGGGGGTGTTGAGACAGGGTTTCTCTGTGATTTGGAGGCTGTCCTGGAACTATCTCTTGTAGACCAGGCTGGTCTCGAACTCAGAAATCCTCCTGTCTCTGCCCCCTCCCCCCCAGTGCTGGGATTAAAGGTGTGTGCCACCACCGCCCAGCCACAACCTTATGGTTCTGATGAATGTTGTTTCAATTGAAGTCTACTTTTGTAAATGTCACCAAAAGCAAATCAGTATCTTAAGAGAACCTTGTGGATATAAATAAGACTAGATTTTAGATTTGTATCAGTGTAGTGAACTTGACCGTAGGAATTTTAATAACTAACTATAGCTAACTCAGTTATACACATACACATTTTTTACTCCATACTCATCCTCTATCTTAGTACAAACCCAATTTAAAAATTCTTTTCCTTCAACATTTCTAAAATCATAACAGCATACTTATACCATTTTAAACATTTTTTTCTCCTACTTATTGGATCTTTTTTGCTTTTTTTAGTATTGTAAGATATGTATAAACAACTTTTAGGTAGAAAAGGTATTTGTTACCCTGTCAAACTGGGAGGACTATGAACTGATTGCTTAATCTTAACGTCATAAGTATAATCAGATTTGTCAGAACAGGCCCTAAGAGCTGTTACCAAAGCAGAGGCTATGCCCCCCACACACATTGCAGCAGCAGACACTGAATGGGGACAGACAACAGAACATACAGATACCTTAAATTAGAGGCTACAGAGCTCACACCCTAGGAAAACAAGCAAGAGTAGATGTGTGCTTTTAAATTTGAAGGCAGTGAAGATTCAACTCGGACAATTTATTGACCTTAATAAACTTAAACAAAGCTGTGGATGTCGTTCTGGGCAGTGGCTGTGTTCAGTTTCCAGTTTTCCTTACTTGTGCTAGGGCTGCCATAGCCTCTGAGTAAAAGCTTTGTCTTATGGAGAGTTCACCATAATAGTTCCAGCTACAATCTGTCTTAGGAAAGCAAAGAGCATTGGGAATTATTAACCCAATGGCCAGCAGCCCAGAAAAAAACACACATCAGCAATTCTGAAGGTAAACTAACATTTCACCAGCAAATCTAAGTTATGTGTCAAAGATTTATTTATGTTAGTTATGTGAACTAAAAAGCGTTTAGAATACTCTAACGGTTTTAATTTAGCTGAATGTCCTCTACAAGGCACTTTGGTGCCATGAAGCATATATGAGCATAAGCATACATGTAAACATAACACAATATACATATGCATATAATCATACATCAAATACATTTTAAGAAAACCAAAAATTTTTTTGTTAAATTTATCCTGTCAGGTTCTTTTTAAAGTCTTCTGCTCTGATTATTTTTTTCCAGTATCACTAAGTAAGCTTTAATCTTAAATCTATCCTTTAAAAGTTTGAATTTTCAGTTGAAGCAAATTACAAAACTTATGTCTCAGTATGTAATATTTTAAACAGGATGACTAAACAGGGTGTGGGATGAAGCTGAAAAAGTAATCAGTGGACATGAAAACTATTTTCTTTACTCGGTTGAAATTTTGACTTTGGTGTTTACACGGCTAACTAAGTTGTGACACATCTGAATGTTGTGGAACATGAAAAGCAAATCATCCAATCAGTAAAACAAACACAGAGCCCCACCTTTCCCACTGTGATGCCTTTACACAGAACTATAGGAAGAGAAACTCCATCTCTGTTCCATTAGGAAAGATCCAAGGAATGGGGTTCAAGAAGCACACTGGGCAGACTGTTGTTTGAGTAATTTACTTGTTACAATGGTTTTAATGCTATAGATGGACAGGCAGACAGCAGCATGTCAGAGGCTCTCAGATCAGGCCTACATGGCAGAGTGGGAAACCCTTCTTATGAGTTCAGGGTGAGGTGTTTCTGTGCCATGTGATTGATGAGAAGCCTATAGTGTGTGCTTGCAGTCAAGCATCTATGGGTGGGACGAGGGGCAAGAATCTATGGGGCGGGGGGGACAAGAATCTAGGGGTGAGGTGATTTTTGTCATGGAAACCAAATCACTATGATTTCTGAAATGATCACAGTCCAAACAACATGAAGTTGCTTTATAAAATTCGGTGGCACTGGCTAATATTCTAGATTGCTAGAAATTAGGCCCAGGATTTCTTCCACTGTCCAGAAACCTCTCTAGAAGAGCTGACTTAAGGGTCCTACAACACTGGCTAGATGAGAAAAACTTCTGAAGATTCAGAGAGGCCACAAAGCTTTCTCAGGACCAGCAGGCTAGACAAGAGCTGAAATTCAGGTCCCTAAGACATGTCCCTTCCTGCTTTATCTCTAGCAGTGGAGAGGGGCCCTTCCTAAGATGCCCCCCTTTAGTTTAACCAGCAATAAAAACCCAGTGCACTGACTTCACATTTTTTGGAAAGTAGGGATTATTTTGGCTCACAGTTTAAGGATGTAGTTAGCCATGACCAAGAATGTATGAATGTGACCAGGGCTTTATTTGGAAATAGGGTCTTTGCAGGTGACAGAGTCAAGTTGCAATAGGGTTGCTAACATGAATTCCAGCTCAATATGACAGTATCCTTACAAGACATTTGTGACTTGGACACAAGACACACATATAGAAAAAGGGGGAAGATGAGAGTGAATCACAGAGAACATCATGAGACATGAGGACACAGTGGAGGTGATGTTTCTGTAAACCAAGGACTGAGTTCACATCTTAGTGAACTCAAAGCCAAATAAACGAGCCAAAGGTAACATAGTGGAGAAATACTTATTACCTATGTCAGGCAAAGCTAGCACAGGTGTTATCTCCAAAGTAATGCTCTATTTCACTTCCCAATAAGGAAGCACAGAGATTTTAATCATAGGGTCCATATATATTCATATAGGGGTAGGCCAACTTTTAAGCATGTTGGCTTTAGGATTATATTCCCTGAGCATACTCATTCTAAAATAATGGACAGAAATGCCCCTGGGAATCCCCAGATTTCACAATAACATTTTATCTGTCAATGAGGAAAAGGATAGTTTTCAGGTGTTGAATGAAGAAATCTGTCCATGAAGGTGCCAGCCTTGTTTAGTCAATAAAGGACTGATACATGTTCTTGTCCTATCTAGCCATCCATACATGGAGGCTGACCTCACATTACTGCACAGTGTTCAAGGTACCCAAAGATTTTCATAGGAATGCCAGTGGCTTTACCTGTTTTCTATCTCATGATATTTTCTTGTGTCCAGATTTTACAGAAACCCAAGGAATTGAGTATAGTGGCACCTGGAATTTGATAGGCCACTTTGCTTATGTCCTGTTTCCTGGTTTGAAGGACACTGTGAACTATGAAATACTACATGAAAAACTACCAGGGGTTCTTATTGCTGTAGAACTGAAATATACATGTCCATCTACACCTCTTGTCCTCACAGCAGCTGGCCTAGTACCTTCAATTTATCCTTTTCCCACTGGGATATCCATGAAAGCAAGCCTCTGAATATAACCCAAATGTTGATACAGATTGCCAATTCCAAGTTTCAGAGATGCAATTTACCTATATTAACTCAGTCTACTGTTTACTCTTTCTCCTGACTCCTGCACATGTTGTCTGTGTTCATTTGTAATGCTGCAGATGTCTGCCTTGTAACATCTGTTACAAGTATCCACTGGGATCGGTGATATCATAGCAGTTCTTTATCTCACTTGGCTATTGATTCAGTTGTTTAGGGAGGCTAAATGTCATCAAAGGAAATTGATCCTAGGACACATCTGTATGGCATTGGACTGGTAGACACTACACTCCACACAAATATGCATTATACTTTGCAAAGGTTGGTCCCATTTCATCTTAGAAAGAGGCTTGACAGGTGACTGTCAATGCAACTCTTTATTGGAAAAGTGTTATAGAAAGGATTCATTAATAAATGTTCAAATGAAGAGATTTCACTCACAGAAAAAATTCAGAAAGTTGGATATGCCAAGCAGATAAATAAGAGCCTGTTTGACAACCAGAGGCCAGGAAGTGTGAGGGGTCATTATCAGATCTAAGCAGAAGGAATAAGAAGGAAACATTTCACTTAATAATACCATGAGTACTAAACAGTTCACTAAGGCCAAATAGCATAGATTACAAAGAATGATGGATACAGGTAAAGTCAGCCCAATAGGGAGGCCATGATCTGATACAGCTGATTTATACTTGAAACTAGAAGGTGAAGGGCCTCTGATTATGTAGGCTTCATTGCACAGAGGCACAGAGCAGGCTGAAAAGGTGAGGTGAATCTGTGAAGAGACAAGGAGAATAGATCATTAAACACTCATGTGATGGTCTCAGCCACCTACAGAAAGAATGTCACTACTGTGTCCCATACATGTGAAATCTAGAGAAGCTAAATTCATAGAGGGTGGTAGACAAAGCTGTGGGGAATTGGACATAGGGTGATGCTAATCAAAAGACACAAAGTCCCAATTGTGTAAATTGAACACATTGGGAGATCAGATGCATAATTACAGCCATTATGGACAGTATGCAGCAATATGCTTTGTAAAGCAGATAGCTAAATGCAAAATGCTAAAATGTAGATCTTAAATTTCATAACATCCTCATGCCCCACCCTTCTTTCTTTCAGTGCCTTTATTTGCTCACAGTCATGGGACAGCTGTTCTCTTCGCAGAATGATGAACGCAATGAAGATTTGGCCTCCAGCTTTACCCAATACTTCAAGAAGTTTAAGACAGTAGACACAATCATTCCTCAGGAACTCCTGGCTTCAATTGGGTCAAGCCTGAGAAGAGGAAATATTCAGGGGGCAAACTCTTCCATTGAAGATGCATTAAAAGAAATTGACAGTACCCCACTCAATGTTGCTGTGACCGGAGAGACTGGAGCAGGGAAATCCAGCTTCATCAATGTCCTGAGAGGGGTTGGGCATGAAGAGGAAGGTGCAGCTGAAACTGGAGTGGTGGAAACGACCATGGAGAGACGTCCATACAAACACCACAATATTCCCAATGTGGTGATTTGGGACCTGCCTGGTATTGGAAGCACAAATTTCCCACCCAAAGACTATCTGGAGAAAATGAAATTCAATGAGTATGACTTCTTCATCATTGTTTCTGCCACACGCTTTAAGAAAAACGATATAGACCTCGCCAAAGCAGTCAGCCTGATGAAGAAGGATTTCTACTTCGTGAGAACCAAGGTGGACTCTGACTTAAAAAATGAAAAGGAATTCAAACCACGAACCTTTGACAGAGAGAAAGTCCTGCAGCAGATCCGCAACAACTGTGTGAAGACCTTTCAGGAGAGTAACATTGAAGAACCACCAATCTTCTTGATCTCTAACAAACATTTATCTGACTATGATTTCCCAATCCTGATGGAAAAGTTGATGAATGCTCTCCCTGTACACAAACGACACAATTTTATGCTTTCCTTGCCTAATATTACAAGTGCAGCCATTGAAAGGAAGCGGCAGTTTCTGAAGCAGAGGATTTGGCTCGAAGCCTTTGGGACTGACCTACTGAGTATCATCCCTTCACTGACCCTCTTCATGGAAAGTGATGTGGAGACTCTTCAGAAAAGCATGAAATACTATCGAACAGTGTTTGGAGTAGATGATGCATCCTTGGAGAGTCTGGCTAAGGATTGGCAAGTGTCACTGAATCAAATCAAGGAAAAGATGAAATCTCCTAAGGTGTTTGAAAATACAAAGAAAGATACAATACAAGAAAGGCTTTCAAGTCTTTATGAGGAGTTCTGTTTGGCTAATGGACATTTAGTTACAAAGAAGGTTTATGTTAAAGAATTGTTTTGCCTAAAATTACATTTCCTTGACATGGTGACAGATGATGCTAATGCTCTTCTCAGAGAGATATGTTTTAGAAACAACTTGATTTCTGAATAGTCTGAAATCCTGTAGCTGCCAAATTTCAGAATCAATGACAGGGAAAATAAAACAAGGACATTGCAAAATAATATACTGGGTTTATTCAGGCCATATAGAGTTTATCCATACTTAGTGGTCATATATCCACTTTAGCTATAAGGAGGCAATCAGATAAGTGTAAAAAGGCAGAGAGCAAAATTCTATCTTCTCATTTTGAATAAAACCTCAGATCAATTATTTGCAATTTTATTTTAGTTACTTTAATATAAATTATCATCCACTTTTAGGTTTAACATTGTAATGGTTAGTGTTGTAGACAGAATCTAGAATCGCATAGGAGATGAACCTCTAGGCTTGCATTCAGGAAATTATTCTGTTTATGTTAGTTGTGTTGAGAAGCCCTGCCCACTATGGGTGGTATCAATATCAAGATGGTGATCCCTGATTGTGTTTGTGGAAAGAAAGGTTAAGTAGCTGCATATTTGCATTCATCCATTATGCTCTACTTTTGCACTGTGGGTGGAGTGGCACTAGCTGCCACCAGCTACTTCTGTGACCTTGGGTAACCATGGCCACTATAACCTTGAATTTGATACTTGTGTCTTCTCTTGATAGCCATACCCAAGGAGAAACCATACCTGGACTGGAGAGATGGTTCAGTAGATAAAGCACTTGCCTTGCAAATCTGAAGACCTGAGTTCAGCTCCCCAGAGGCCACATAAAGCCAGCTTAGTATCTATAATCCACCCACTCCTATGGTGAGATAGGAGGCAGACACAGAGAATCCTGGAATCTCTGGGGCCAGCTAACCTGCCATATGCAGCAGTGAATAATAGACCCTGACACAAGCAAGTGGAAGGTAAAGACCAACACCCAAGATTGTACTCTGACCACTACATACATGCCATCTCATATTCATGACTGCAATCACACATTCAAATGTACATGCAAAAGTTTTTTTCACTATAAAAATGAAGGAAGGGTTGGGCAGTGGCTCAGTGGTATAATGTTTGCCTCACATGCCTGAGACCTCAGGCTCAATCCCAAGAACTCAATAAAAAGGGTATGGAGTGGGGCTGGAAAGATGGATCAGAGGTTAAGAACACCAGGTACACTTACAGAGGACCTGGTTTTGATTCCCACATAGTAGCACCTAGTAGCTTATAACTCCTGTTCCAGGGAATCTGATATCTTCTCCTGAACTCCACAGGGAAAAGACAGGCATGTGGTGAACAAGTTTACATGTAAGGCAAACATTCAAAATAGTTATGCTTAGATAAAGAGAAAGACAATAACCATAGGGATCACAGTAGCCTTAATAACAACACAAATTCCTAAAAATCGTATTTATTCAGAATCCTTGAGAAAATACTAAAGAAGTTCTCTATTTCTGTGACAGAAAAAGTGTAGATGATGAGATTTCTCTACTTCCTATTGCTGGGTTATTGAATGTTGTGATTGCTAAATGACTGATTAACTCCATATTAATACAAAAAGCCATTTAATAATTTCTTTCTGAAAAAAACATTTGTTTGTGCTTTACATTTCCAAGAATCCATAATAGTTTCACCATGACAGTCCTTAATATTACAATTAATGGTTGATTATCTCATTGTCCATATCCTGGCCTATGTTTTCTCTTCCTTTAAATAAAATACAAATAAATGGTTACATGTGTTGGTAAGACTCAAAGAGAGAGACAGAGTAAATGGGAAAAATTGTTTATAACCAGAGTTGTTTCTTAAAGTTTGGCCTGCTATATTCCTATAGACTAAGAGGGTTAAACAATAGAATTTTGTTCTCATACTTCTAAATGACTGATGTCTGAGATTCAGGTGCCTGTATGGCCAGATCCTCAGTGAAAACATTCTTCCTGGTCATGATTCACATGGCCTTCCATAGTGTATGTGGGCAGAGAATTATTCCCTTGTCATTTCTTCTTATGTCCCTATCATTTGGGTCCCATTTAATGACCTAATGTAACCATACATGCCTCTTAAAAAGTCCTTCTTCCTAGTATGATCCAACTGAGGGGTTGAAATATTAACATATGATTTCAGGTGTGGGGGTAAAATCAATCTGTTATGCAAATTATGCTGGTGGTTCAGTTGCTTTCCTAGAAGAAGCTATGCCACTCATCAACACCAAATAGGCCAAAGTATTTGTGCCATAAGTTGAGATGCAGACTTGTCCAAAAAAAGATGGCTAATGAGAGATACTAGACATTCCCTTCTCTACTTAAGAAATAAAACAAAAGAACAACCAGATGATGTTTGCTGAGAATATTTGGAGAATGCTGGAACACAGTGCACCTGAAAGAGAATTATGAAAAATGGAGACTCCAGAGGGTCAGGTGGAGAAGTGAAGAAAGCACCTTGCATAGTGTGCTGTTGATTCCCGTGAGCTTCTTTGAATGTGATAAATCCTCTCACACCTCAGAAATTGCACATAGTAGAGGCTAAATTGCCCAAATTGGCACCACAGAGTCATGGATTTTTCTGTAAGGCAATGCTATAGCCATCAGTGGTTTTGAGCTCCAAAAGGAGATGTAATGAAATGCACACCACATAGGAACCTCTATTTACATGGTTTCCTCCCCTATATAAGATATTAGTATATGTTGCCACTTTAAGACCCAAGTAGATCACAACTTACCCCAACTTCTATTTATGGTTTACCCTCAAAGCCTGCTTGAGTTGCTCAATCACTGCACCACAAATTGTATGTAACTCTGTCTTTTAAAATACCATCACCCTGTGTGACCTGTGCAGATCAGGGTCTCTGAATTTGTTAGCACATTCATCATATCCTCACAGTCTTCAGTTATAGTTTGTGAAACACCATTGGTTTTCAAGCAGAAACAAAGCCTATGCAGCCTCTAACATGATACCCAATACCTTCAGGAGAATGTATTTTACTGACTAATTCTCCTACCCAATTGGTAAGACACTGATACAGCAGATGTAGCAAAGAGGATCAAGAAATATGGAAATACAAGGCAAGGTGATGCCACCAAGAAAACACAAAATCTTCCATGAATGAATACTGCACAGGAAGTTGAGGAAATGCCAGAAAAAAAAGATAATTCTGAGAAAATTGTCTGAGAATAAAGGAAGTGTATATCATCATTACATTAAAAGTATTAATGCAATTCATTGTATGATTAATGAGAAGTTCATCAATGAAGTAGAGGTCTATCTTTAAAAAAATACTCTATGAATTGGGAGGTTAATGGGTAAAATCTTTTCTCTGCAGGTATAAGACCTGACTTCAGATTCCCAGATTCCAAGTGTGTTTGCTGGATTGATTCTCTACAAGAATAGAACTCATTTGATAGACAAATAAGGAGATAGTTGATAGACAGTTACATAGATACATAGATATATAGATATACATACTGATAGAGATAAAGGATTAGAGTGGTTTGTGTTCCAGTTAGATCAACAATAATTATCTACCATTGGAAAGACCAAGAATCCAGTAGTTGCTCAGCCCATTTGGCTGCAATTCTCAGCTGGCCTCCAGTAAAGACTGGAATCCTGAAGGACTAGGTTCTAATGCCAGTGAAGGAATGAACTTGCCAGTGACAGTAAGAACAAAAGGCTAAGAACAAGAACTTTTCCTTCCATGTCCTTTAGATAGATAAGCTGCCAGCATAAGGTGTGGTCCAGATTGAAGGTGGAGCTTACCACCTCAAGAGATCCAGATTTAGTGTGGATCTTCCAAATACAAATTGTCTAATTATGAAAAAATCATCACAGGTGAACCTAGATGCTTGGGTTTTAGTTAAATCCGGATGTGGTCACAGTTACAACCAAGAATAGCCATCATACCAAGTAAAATCAGATATAACAATGCATTACTGTAAACCCAGTACCAAAGCAGTGAGATGGAAGTCAGAAATAAGAGAATGCATTGAAGCTTGTGGGTCAGCTAGCCTTGCAGATGCAATACAAACAATAAGTGACCCTGCCTCAAACAAGAAGAAAACCTAGAACCAGGAGCTGAGGTTGTCCTCTGTCTTATGCACCTGCACTGTAGTACATGCTCAAACAGGAATACAAACACACACACACACACACACACACACACACACACACAGAGGAATGGGGTCTGAAAAAGGCAAGACAAAATTATGTCAAAGAAACACAATGTCTTCTATTTGTCTTTTATATATTAAAGTAGCATAAACCTTGGGTCTAAATAAATCAATGAGTTAATTTAAAACCACAGTTTAGGCTTCAGGGATAATATAGCAGATGAAACATCCCCTCAATATCTCTGTAAATTAAGAGTTAGGGTTTCAAGCATGAGCTACATTATGACAAAGGAAGAACAAACAGAGGGGCTTCAGGGACGAAGAAGCAGGTGCTGGGACAACTAAGAGCAAACAGGAGCAGAACCAGGAACCAGAAAAATAGTGTTGATGGTAAACCAGGAATGTTAAGGACAAAAGCTATGGCCTGGAACACTTAGGAAGAAAAATAAAAGGGTTTGTGTTTAGGTACCAGAAGGCCTCAGTGACCAGAAAGAAAAAAAGGTAGGCCTTTACCTTCTTGGCAGGCTGGGACTGGCTCCCATAAAGCCACACACATTAAGAAACACTGGCCAGGCAACACTGCCCACTCTCCAAGCCTGTCGTCTAATGCAGCAAATTGTTACAAATTTAATTTTGAAAAACAATTTCCAAAAGACCTCTGCCTACTTCAGGAAGATCACCCACAACCCATCCCACAGACAAGGAGCTAACTTTGTGGTAACTGAGGAAAACTACAGGTATGTCCTGGTAACAGTGCTAAGAGTTTTAACTCTGCATAGACAGAGAAGGGAAAAGGGCCCATGCTCAAACTACAAGATGGCCATGTAAGCTAACCTTTCTGGGAACCACTGCATAGATAGATTAATAATAAAACAATAGATGTCAATTCAGAACCCTGGAGAAAGTTGTAGGGAAGGAAAACCCTCTTGCACCACTCCTCCCTTGTTCTAGGCTTTAAACTAGAAAAATTAAGACCTCCAGGAGCAAACTCAGCAAAACAAAACTTGAACTGAAGTGACCTTCCCAGAGAGAGAGCCTTCCATGCCACTCTACATCTTGGGCTGATGGTGTAGATACTAAGAGATGGTGGATACTGAGAGAATTGATAAAATGCCCTTCATGGAAGGTAGTAAATTCAGTGATAATTCATCTCCACACTGCAAAGTACACCCCCACAGATGAAGTGGACAGAGACCTGGAAGATCAAACAAATACCAGAGAGGTGCTCACCTGCTCACAAACTCACGGAAGCAAACACACTTGGGCAAAAATCACAGGTTGCTGACACAAAAGCAGCTCAATTCAAATGCTTGGTTTCACCAGGTGCCAAAGTCATTGCTTGCACATGCAATCACCTCAGACCTTCAGAAAAAGATATTTATGGCTGGAACTAGCCAGTACAAACACACACACACACACACACACACACACACACACACACACACACACACACAGTCTTAGCTGATGACTCTTGAGATCCTAAATGGAAACAAGCTTTTTTGGTTCTATCCTTTTGTGACAGGCAGATTATTAGAAATCTGTCTATATTTTATTCTGTGGAACTAATAAATATTTAATGTTACAATGGAAGAAACCCTTGATGTTGACCACAGAATTAAAGTTAACTTTAAAACTTTCAATTATCTTAAAGAAATCCATAACTGATAAAGTTACCCACAAGCCAATAATCAAAACACGGGGCAGATGGTGGAATCTATGAAGCAAACATAACCCGGCATAGCTATTCTGCTAGCTGATAATAAAATTAACTTCCAACTGAAAGTAGTCAGAAGAGATGATGAAGTCTACTCTACATTAATAAAGTAACAATTTGTCATGAACATATAACAATTGTAGGGCTGGAAAGATGGCATGGCAGTTAAGAGCACTGGCTGTTCTTCCAGAGTTTCTGAGTTCAATTCAACCACATGCTGGCTCACAACCATCTTCAAATGATGTCTTGTGCCCTCTTCTGGCCTGCTGACTTACATGCAGGCAGAAAACTATACGAAATAAATAAATGTTAAAATAATAACAATTGTAAACATACATTCGAAAAACTTTGGCTATACCCAGGAAACAAGGATTTGGTTTTTCAGATGATGAACAAAAAAAAAAAACAAATCTTTAGCCAAACTAACCAAAAAAGACACGATACAAATTAATTGAATTAGAGATGGAAAAAATGAACATGACAACAGATACTAATGAGAGAAAGCTGAGTCATTTAGGAGTACTTTGAAAACCTATAATAAAAAAAAAAACAGAAAACTATAAGAAAAATTGAGAAACTTCTAGACATATATGACATACCAAAATTTAAACTAAGAGAACATATAATACAAAAACAGATCTCTAAGGAGGAATTACTTTTGAGCCTGGAATTTTACTAGTGAATTTGTTTATTATACAAAAGCTAGTCTATTTTCCCTGGAGTCATTTTGAAAATGGATACCACTCAAAGAATTACTGATTTTTATCAAGTCCAATTTGCTGTCATGTGTCAACTAGACATTTTCCCATATTTTCCTATTGTGGTAGGGACACTAAAAGAAATATGCCTACATTTAGTATCTGTGAAATGAGTAAATGTATTAAGTTAAATGAAAAAGAACCTTTAAGTTGAACATAGACATAAGCATATATACCACACACAAGAAATCTCAGGGACTACCTCAAACTTTCAAATTTGGCTTAAAATTAATGCCTAAAAACTACTACTTCTGGTCCATGACCTTAAATTGTTGAAACTTCCCTGGTGTTTAGAGATTGGAACCGACAAAAAGTACACAGTGGGCTGTCATGTTGCAAATCAGTTCCTAAAAGACTAAATATGTCCTAATGCAGGAACCTGGGAAGCATGAAATCAGTTAAAACATTTATTTCTTTTCCTTCATATTTAACAGTCATGAAAAACCAAAGGAAAAGAGGGGTTTGTGCCAAATTCTAAGAATGGCTCTTTCTGAAAGGTGAGGAAGGGGAGATTAATATGCCTACAGTTCAGTTCTGTTCCCACATAAAAAAGAGTAAATGTAACTTAATAGTTTTGTAAATGGGAAAGGGGGAATCTATAAATTATAAATACATTATTTTATTTTTTGTACATTTTTAAGAAGAAAAAAAATATTCGTAACATGTGAAAAAAACTACTACTTCATAGATTCCTATTTACTTTCCAACTAATATGAGGAAATCCATTTCTAATTAGAGCATCATGGCTCAGTGCCAGAACTAAATAGACAATTCTCAATAGAGGAATCTAAAATGGCTGAAAGAAACATAAGAAAGTGTTCAACATCCTTAGCTATCAGGGAAACGCAAATCAAAACAACTCTGAGATACCATCTTACTCCTGTCAGAATGGCTAAATTCAAAAACACCAAGGACAGTTTATGGTGGAGAGGATGTGGAGAAAAAGGAACACTCCTCTACTGTGGTGGGAGTGCCAACTTATACAGCCACTGTGGAAATCAGTATGGCGACTACTCAAGCAAATGGAAATGAGTCTACCACAAGATCCAGCAATTCCACTCCTAGGCAT